AAGTAGGAAAATACTATAAAATAAATCCCTAATTACGTTTTCTAAAAAAAACTTTAAAATTGGAAACTAAATATACTATCATCTATTCTAATACTCCATCAAGAACTCTCCAGTTCCAATTCAGTTCAGTCCAGTCTAGGTTGATCTAGTTTAAGTCCTATTACTAATGGCACTGAAGTATGTTTATATTTTTTTCACAAGTAGTAATGTTGCAGCATTCTGTTTCCTCAAAAAAGGGAAAAGAACAGAACCATCAAGCTCAAATTGGCAGAAATCCGCTTATTTCTCTCAAATATCAAGGACCCAAACCATACAAGTGATGACAAAAAATCATTGAAAGAAATAACAGAAAAGAAAAGAAATTAAACTAATGAAAACATCTTCTAATAAAATAAATAACAAATATCAAATTAAGAAAAAAACAAACAAACACCATCTCTTCTTCTTAATTAATTTTTGTGAGAACCCACATAAAAAATGCATGCACCAAATATTTCAAAAAAGAAATAAAAATAGGAAATTATGATTGTTTTGGAACCTTGAAGTGAATTACCTAGACAAGGGTAATATACTCATCTTCAATAGCGAATGAAATCACCAGAGATATCTCAGGCAATAAAATATACTATATATGTGATTTTGGGTATTTACCTAGTTGAGTGTAAACTGAGGAGAAAAAAAATGTGGAAGACAAAAAATTGGAACTTCAATTACTAGGATTGGATCTCAGATTTCTTTATTTGCAATTACTGTGATTGCCTCTCACCTCCCAATTTTGGGAAAGAATTAGAGTTGACTCAATAAATGGTCGGCTATTCAAGGACAACAATAGATGGTGGTGGCTGTTGTTTGAGAATTGAGACTTGAGCGGTGAGGATGAGAGACTGCGTGCAGGAAGTGTTGATGAAAACTTCTGTAGGATCCTCTTTATTTATTGGAACTTCAATTACTAGGATTGGATCTCAGATTTCTTTATTTGCAATTCCTGTGTGGTTGCCTCTCACCTCCCAATTTTGGGAAAGAATTAGGGTTGACTCAATAAATGGTCTGCTATTCAAGGATAACAATAGATGGTTGTGGCTGCTGTTTGAGAATTGAGAGTTGAGCGGTGAGGATGAGAGACTGCGTGCAGGAAGTGTTGATGAAAACTTCTGTAGGATCCTCTTTATTTATTGCTTTAAAAAAGTTTGGTGAATCCAGTTTTTCTATCCGCTCTAAAATAAAACCATCAGAACCAAACAGTCCAGTTTTTGGTAACAATGAACAGATTGAATTTTCTCTTGACCGAACCACGTAGTTCCTGCACAGGTCGACCAGCACCCAGGATTTTGCCCACCCAGTTCTGTCCGGTTTTCATAGTCATATAATCTTAGTTTTAAATTGCCAACTATAATTTTACATGAAATGAGTAAATAAGAATCCACAAACAAAAAGCAGTGTTGGTTGTCTAATAGAGAGCAAAAGCCAATGATTAAGTAAACTAGTTAGCTATCTTCTGACCTTGGTAATCCCGATTCTGGTGATGACCCCAGCTTGCATTCTCCCAATTCTACATTAAACATACATTAGTAAACAAACCAAAAATCTCAACCACAATAATTCCTATGTTGAAAAAAATAATAATAATAAAATAAAATTGGTAATATAGAAGAACAAGAAAAAATTAGGCAAAAGAAAGGCAAATGTATAAAAATCAGTCCACTTTTGGCGTCTCTATACTACAGAAATGGTAAAACGCCTTTGTATAAACAAGCAAAACAAATATTTTTGTCCTCATCCCCGCCTCCCAGTAAAGATAACCAATAATTACAACTTTTCTTGTTCATATGCCAAGCTTAAGAAAATTTGAGTATTTTTTATAGTAGGTATAGGATCAGCAACCAAAAGAAAAGTAACAAACTAAAGCCAAGAGCGTCAATGAGTATAATTAACCAATTAAGTATTGTTCTTTATCTCTCTGAAGAACTGAATTCTTTGAATCATAATTCCTGTGTAAAACGTCACAATTTGCTACAAGGCTGACACTAAAATACTTGCCAATAAACCAAACTATCTTTCAAGAAAGGAAAGTTTTTACTCCAATCAAAGAATTAACAAATACCTGAGAGTAGGAATGCGGAACATGAGGAAGCTTAGGTGGGAGAGGCTGCGCAGGATAAGGCGGAGGCTGGTGCGCAGGATATGGAGGGTAATAACTATGGTCGGAGGAGTGAACCGGAGGCGGAGGCGGGGGCCACTGTGGTGGAGGAGAGGGCGAGTGTTGGAGCTGCGGTTGGTAATGGAATTGGGGAGCAGAGTAGGAGGACCAAGGCTGGTTGGGTGGAGGTGGTGGTCTTTGGTAGGGATCCGCTGTAGACGGCGGCGGATGAGGTGGCTGTGGCCTCATGTAAGGGCGGGGCTGCTGGTAGTCCATGGGTTTAGGGTTTATTTGTGGTGAATTACAATTATTTTCGCGTTCAGGCGGATATGCATCTGTGTGTATAAGAGGACAGAGAAATGGATTGACGATGGTGGAATCGGGTGGGGATTTTTCAGAAAACGGGTTTGCAAGATTAGGTCCGAGTCCGAACATATATATACCACGTAAAATGTGGCTTATAGTATCTCAACATTCATTATTACACGAACATAATTTTCTATAAAAAAAAAAATTGATTGTAAACCAAATATGTAACTTTTTGAAGAACGAAGTATCATTTATTGTAAAATTTCAACAACTATTATTAAAATTTATTAAAAATTTATATATTAATCTGCGTCAAATATGACCATTTGATATACTGTTGCTTTTGACTTGATATAAAACGAAGCGATTGTCTTGTTGGATACATATTTTAGGTTTGGTTTTGGATTAGAAGTAAAAACTCTTAACGTAAAAAGGAAAATACTATATTGAAGGAAAAAAATAAAACTTCAACACCTCAAGGCATTGGAAGCATTATGGAGATTTGGATAGTAATCAAATAATATTGAATTTTGTTTTTATAACCGTGGATGTTCAGGCCAACTTGCGTGCACCTCGACTAATTCCACGAGACCCTGAAATTTTCGTTCGAATACTTACCTCAATGGCCCTGATGGGATTTGAACTGGTGACCAATATTGAAATAAAAAAATTAAAAGTTTATTTATAATCTAATTATATCAAATAGTGCACTATGTAAGAAGTAATGAACTGTAACTTGATTGATTTTGAATACAGGAACATTCGCCTTGACGGTTGCATCAACATTGAGCTTTAGATGATTAGCATAGGGTAGCTGCCACTTTACCTCAACTAGGGTTTTATGGATATTTAATACTCCCTTCGTTCCATAAAGATGGACTGAGTTTGCTTTTTGATATGTTCGAAATTATAGGGCATTTTACTTATTAAGAGTGTAATTGACTTCATAATATTCAAATATACTCATATTTAATGTATCTTATTGTTAACAAATATGAATTATTCTTATTTAAATCATTATTTTATGTAAGAGTATATTAGAAAAAATGTAAGATAAATTATATTTTCAACTATACTAATTACATTTTTGTTTAATGTGTAAAAATAGAAACAAGTCAATATTCGTGGGACGAAAGGAGTATCAAGAAAAGATTAAAATTTTTGCAAGAAAATTAAGCAAAGATTGAGTCGAGGAGAAAAACTAAGAGGGTTGTTCGAAAATATTAATTCAATAAATAATTTCTGTAACTTATAACGTGCTTTTTCGAACCTTACAATTCGGATCAAAAAGACATCCTTGAGAACATTAGATATATGATCTGTCAAAAATTACACATTGGAGCAATTGGCTCTCCTTAACGATGTAAAGAACACAGGACAGAAACTATGATATCATGACATTGAACAGACTACGAAATCTGTATGAAACCAGTATTTCTCGAATCAGAAAGTTCAGGTGCTCGTTGCAATTCTTCTTCTTTGTTCAGAAAAATTCGATTCCCGTTAATTGATAGTGGCGTGATGATCCAACTGTCAGAACTAAAGTTTCCTTGAACCTCAATGTTGTCTTGGATATCATTAGTATAGCATGAAATAAGCAGTGATTCATTGAAGTAACATCGTGTGGCTCTGGTATCATGCAAAAGCATCAGCCTGTCGTCTTGTTAATCGTGCATACAAGCCATCCTTGTGGAGAAGCTGAGTATGGTTGCCCATCTGAACAATTGAAGAGCAGTTAAGAGTTAAGAGTCTGGCAAAACAAGATAAATTAAGGAGAGCAAAGAAAAACAGGATTGAGATTATATCAACGGTCCGTTGGCAAAGGATTTTGAAAAATCAAAAACTGCTTTTGATCCTAAGAAGCTACTTTTAGACCTATTTAAATAATTTTCTAAAAATGCTTGGTCCAATTAGGCCCCTGTTTTGTACACATTTTTGCTCCAAGAATGCTTTTTTTTTTTTTTTTTAATGTGATGGGGAGTGTGTCTGAAAAAGAAGGAAAAGTTATTGATGTTTGAAAAATATTATTTTATTGAAAAATGTGTCGTTGAAAATAAGTAGAAGAATGAAAATGAAAAAATAATGGAGCTCAAACAAGGATAAGAAAAGCTTTTAGAGGAAGCTGGCCAAGGAGGCTTCCTCCATAAACTCTTCCACAAAAGCAGAAGTAGAAGACTGATAAGATCTGCTGATTCGAATGTAGGGAAGAATGAAAGACGATGATATTTGTGGGAATTTTCTGAAATATATTTCACTCAATAAAAGAAAAGAATATGCATAAAGGAAATAACTGAAGTTCAGCACTCAATGATGATTCTCCTACCCTCACTCATTCCTTTCTTGTCCTCTAGTCCCCCCCCCTTACAATTTATTTATAGCTCACTTTTCCCTTCCCCATCGATACTTAACAAGAATGCATAACAACTGTAACAGAAAATAGGTGACTCAGCTGGCCTTGCTGTCATTTGGTTGATTCCCATGTGCTAGGTTACATTTCTGGCATGTGGAGTATGTATATTTAATTGGGGGTCTATCAAAGACCTACCAAATATGTCATAATAGTCGAAATCCAAAAGCCACCATATGCCTAAACTTGCATCTTCCAAAGTTTAAGTTCTTGTGTAGTTGTTAAAACAACTTGGACATTGATTAATGGCAAATGAATAAAATCATTATAGACCATAACATCCATGAATGCGTTGACTTACAATGTTAGATTCTCTAAAGCCTAATTATAATGTTCACTTTTACTGACTGAGGATCGCCCTAGTTTTTGGGGAAATTTTCTTATTATAAGTGGGATTCATACTCTGCAATAGGTAATGCTAAAGAAACCCAGGAGGAGTGTTTAGAGATTTCTCGATTTTCCGTGAAAACTTGCAATGGTGACTAGACTTAGCTTCACATTGAGCATGAACACTATGAATCTAAATATTAGCTAGTGTGGAATCTAAATATTAGCTAGTGTGAATTTCTGCTCTGTGTTTTGTTCATACTTTATTATGTTTGAGATTAGGATTAATCCATAACATACAAAAGAAAGGGAGAGTATATTGTGCAATATTAGCAGCACTTGCATTTTCAAAGTGAAGCTCAAGATAATAATAAATATAGCTTTGTGTGTGCAAACATGTTAAATGGAAAACTAGCGTCCAAGTTAGATAGGTCTGACAACCCAAGAGCACGTACCTCGACAATTTTACCACCCTCCATCACTATTATTCTGTCAGCAGCTTGAATTGTGGAAAGCCTGTCAAAAGTGGTTATCAGTACCTCGTTTGCCGTTAAGTCGGAACTCTGCTAGGGACCTTACCTGTGTGCAATTACGATGACAGATCTCTTGATTTCTAGGTCACTACGCAATGCTCGAAGAACGCCCTATTTACACCGCAAAAGTAATAAGGAAGAATATAATTATGAATCGGTTTTCACGAGTATATCCAGTTTCTCTACCTTGATGTTGTGTTCACTTTCCGCATCTAGAGCACTCGTAGCTTCATCAAGGATTAAAAGGCTTGGGTCTCTAAGAAGTGCCCGGGCAATAGCAATTCGCTGCTTTTGTCCTCCACTGAGCAAATCATCATCAACAAGTGTTTGGTATCCATTGGGCAGAGACAAGATGAAGTCATGGGCAAAGGCCTGCTTGGCAGCCCATTCCACATCCTGCTGACTAACGTCTCGGGAACATCCATATCTTATGTTCGAACCGACATCCATGCGGAAGAGTCGGGGTTCCTATGGAACGAACTTCAATGAGGGATATTTTTGAAGTTTGAATGCAGTTATTCGGAATGAAAATAATAGTGGATACCTGTCCCACATATCCAATTCTTTCTCTAAACCACTCAATATCCAGTTCTTTGAGTAGGTAGCCATCAATCAGTATCTACACTCAGGACAAACAATATCAATTAAACTTGCAACCAATGCGAAGTAACAGTCAGTAGTGAAAGTTGAATTTCTAAAATTCTACACAGTTAATTCCAATTTTTTTCTTTTCACTCCACAATTAAGTAAAACATGCACAAGTGTATATGAGGTTAAATGGTTTACCTTGCCATTTGTGGGCTCGTAAAGGCGGAGCAGAAGATTTACTACAGTGCTCTTCCCACTACCACTAAGGCCAACCTGGAAAAAGCAATAAAAATATTCATTTCTCAACATGTCCATGTAGAATTTTTGGTTGTATACTGCTAGATTCACCATGAAATATGACTCAAGGGGGAAGCATCCACAAGGCTGTAATGTTTATCGAAGTTTTTATGTAATGCATGTTACCTATATCTTTGCATTTTCAGATTACTACCCCTTCGAGACTCTACTTACTGTTATATAATATTAACTAGCTGATATATCTTTATGGTTTGCATGTGTATACCTATTTCCAACCATTTTCAAGCATTTGATAATATCCACAAAGATAATCCAGAAAGGATGGAAATGTTAGTGCACAACTGATATATTCACAACTTAAAAACAAAGTGTACACTTACTATGGCAACTACTTCCCCAGGACAGACAACAAAGTTGAAATGTTGTAATACGGGTACCTGTTCAGGTGTCAAGAAAATAGATATTTTAATTGCTATAACAGTAAGTCGATATGAATTCAAATTACACAGTAAGATCATATGAATGACTCATTGCTAAAGGATAACAATTTTTGTTTTTATGTCATAATTCAAATGCAAAAATTTAGGTGTTGATATCTTCATGACTTGCTCACTGCAGAATGATTTAATGCCTCGTGACCATAATTTATACAGCAACTCCACATTCAACAACAGGTAAATCAAAATGCATTAATATAACGGTGCCTGTAACTAATAGACAGACTATAATTGCCTCTCATGATTTAGAAGAAACATATGTTAGTTAATTTGACTATCTGAAGTATCAAGTTTTTTGTATTAAAACGTGTTATTAATTTTTAATATGAAATTTATCACGAAATTAGCATATGGGTTTGGCCAAATTGAAAAGAAAAAATGTATAGACGGACTCTTCGAAATAGTCGGAGTACTCGTGTCAGATACGACACGACATGGGTATGGGTATGAGATATGTGTCGGATCCTCCAAATTTCAACCGGACACTTCGACGTTTTTACTTGTTCTTTTTTCTTTTCATTTTCTTCTTTCCCCTTTTTGCTCTCTATAAACCTAGCATCACAGCAGAGAGGATGGAGAAAGGTGGCGGCCCTAGGTTTCTCTTTTTTTTCCTTGTTTCTTTTTTCTTTTCATTTTCTTCTTTTTTCCTTCTTTCTATCTGTATCAGTGATTTAAGGTTTTATTTGTATAAAATTAAATGTGTTCCATATAGTGCTACTTAATGTTCCACTAAATTCAAATTGCAATCAAATCCCTCATTTTCTATTTTATATAACATTTAGTAATTCTCATAATTGAAAACTAAACCCTAAAATTCTATTTTATTCGTCTTAACCCCTCATTCAATACTCATTTCCTTCTTTGTGATGATTTTGGTCCATTCAGAATGATATCTTGGATTAGTAAAAAACTGAAGCTTGAAAGATGTGCCCACGTACCATGCCCAAAACTTGGACTCTTTTTAACCATGTCCCCGTATCCTACATTTTAGAAAATAAAAGATTCGACACTTAAATACGTACCTATACCCAATACCCGTACCCGAATCCAAGCATCATATAAAGAAACGTACAAGTAACTGAATAAGTACAAATTTTGTAATATATATAAATGAAAGAAATGCATAAGAGTTACCAACTATAGTGTGTGAAAGTGTGGACTAGTAAACTAAAGGAAAGGTATCAAGGTGGTAAGAAGAAGCATGTTTATTAGTACTTTCAGATTTAAATAATTGCCAACTGTAATATTTGAACTTGTACATTAGAAAATATTCTGAGGGAACCTCACCTCAGTTCTTGTAGGATAGTGAAAGCTTACATCCCGAAATTCAATTCGCCCCATCAATCTTTGCAACTTTGATCCTACAGTATGTTAAAATTATTCTTAACTGTCGCAATGCAACCAAAATTTAAAAATGCAACAATTATTTATGAATTCTTCAGCACACTAGTGAAGAAGAAGATTTAGTGCCCGCTTGGCAAGGTTTTTGAAAAATCAAAAGCTGCCTCTGAGAATAGGAACTGTTTGAATAATTTTTTCTGGAAGTGTTTCGTCCGGTATACATGATCATCCATTATTATTTAGATCAATTATTTAATTTATAATTGAATTAATTATCATCAAACCTGTGGTGTCCAAACTAAGAGAAAGGGCCAAACTGTTGTTAAACACGAAATGCCAGATAATGATAAATTCATTTTCTTGATTTCGGGGAAGGTCTATCATTTTCTTTACATCCCTTCACACTAATGCAATAAGCAATGGCAAGATCAACATTAACATTAAAATAGATCATTATCCAAATCGTATGAGCAATAATCAATTCAACAATAAATGACGAAAGTTTTAAAGCAACCAAGAGGCAGTACTGTTGAATGTGCGCAGGATATCCATGGATCAAAGTTGAAAATTATCTACCAAATATGACAATAAAATTTGGGAACTTTAATTAACCTAAGCACATATAACTAAGATTCGTGTGAGAAATTTGAGAAGCAAGCATGCCTTTTGCGGTAAACTGATTGCTAGGTGAAAGATCCATCAACTGAAAAACTTTTTCACTGGCTCCAACAGACTGCATCAATGATGACAAATTATCACCAACCCACCAGGTTGAATAGATTAGCCATTCACTGTATAAAATGAACTTTGTAAGTTGCTCTGCAGTTATATGGCCAGCCAGAATAGACATTCCTCCTATCAGCACGGCAATAACCTATAGAATTTTACATGAGCTCTGAAGTCAATGTTAATTTTTAGATAGTCAAATAAAAAATTTGCTTCAGATGTTCTACGTGAATGATATTATCATATATATAGAATGAAGTTGCAAGAGAGCAAATATCTATGGTGGGAATTCCCTTGTTCTCTCACTCTTCACCTTCTTATGCTTACATGAGCTCTGAAGTCAATGTTAATTTTTAGATAGTCAAATAAAAAATTTGCTTCAGATGTTCTACTTGAATGATATTATCATATATATAGAATGAAGTTGCAAGAGAACAAATGTCTATGGTGGGAATTCCCTTGTTCTCTCACTCTTCACCTTCTTATGCTTCCTACTCAAACGAATTAGAAGGTGACCTTTCGAGTAGGTTGCACAATGTCCAACAATGTATCAGATGTTTAGGTGAGCCGGGAAGTGATGAGAAAAGAAAGAAACAAGCAATAACTAAACTAGTAAAATAACTTTACCTGTGTTGAGTGATAGAGTGTGTTGAAGCTGAAGTTCCAAACTCCATATGCAGCACTTTGTTTTAAGCTTATGCCAGCTAATTTCTCCAACCATTCTCGATATCTACCACCAAAAGAACAGGTTACATGTATTTTGAGATAATTGTAACTTCAGCTGATAGTAATATCAAATATAGGATTGGATAATAAAAATGCAGAATTGTGGAATGAATTCTTACCTTCCAAGTTCTTGTTGCTCTGTTCCATAAACTCGTACAGTTCTCATCAAAGAGAATGTCTCCTGTGCAACCTACAGAATAAGAAAGGAAAAGTGATAATAGGAAAACATAGGAAATGAGGTATATCTGAAATACTCAAAAATATAGTTTTCGGTTTTACTTCATTAGCAGAAGCAGTGATTTCTTGAATCAATTTAGCAGATTGCTTTTGATACCTATATAAGATAAGAAGTGCATATAATTAACAGAAAATAAAGAGAAATCAGATCATATGGCACATAATTACAGTTTTGTTATGATATAAGAACTCAAGTAAACTACACTAAAGAATTGAGGTTGGTTCTCAGTATGTATGCATTATAGGGGTTATGGGTGGACGGAACTGACAATGGAAATGAAGAAGCTAGTCTAATCTAGTTCCTAGCATCATCTTCAATTTCATTTATTATCTCATGCTACGACAACCTAATCTCATAAAATTGAATCCACACATAAACGATAAAATCTCCATGTAAACAGGGATTATTCTAAAAATCAAATTCTCCAAGTGACTGTAATCTACAAGTTCACTGATTTTCCATCACTTCAAATAAGGCAAACTGAAGTTCGGAGAGTACAATCTTATCTGTATATCAAATAGGAACATGAAGAATCGTACCGGCCATATATAACCATGATGGTTGAGAGAGTGACACAAGTGGCCAATATACACAGTCCAAGTGGACGTGACAAAATCAACAAGTACACCAAAGCACCCGTTCCCTATAGGAGACAGTAATAAGATTCTAAACTCGAAGAGAACTGGAGAACATGCTTGAAATTTACTTAGACAACCAACCTGAAGAACATTACGAAATATCAGGTTTAAGTCATTTCCTATCACACGCGACACTTGTTGACAGTCTGACCCAAGCCTACTAGTCAAACCACCAACTGTTTCAGAGTCGAAAAAAGATATATCCTACAAAGCAAGTAGCTAAAAATAATTATTCACAGTGAAAAATAAATCATGCTTTGTGTTATGAAGACTGATAGCAGAAACCATGTCGAGTCCGCAATATTTTATAGCATATTATTTCAGGAACCTGAAGAAGAAGTGTTGAGTATAATTGTTCCCTCATTCGCTTGACCTGAACATTAAAATTGAAATTTGGGTTAACTATCAACATCAAAACTTAATAGAACCCAAAAAGAGAAACTATATCAGCAATATTTTCTTTTGCATTCTGTCAGTAGGGAGCCAGAAAATTTAACTTGTCAAAGATGTGACAATAATTCACAATGCCAACATAGGATAAATGAACCTACTCAGTTCACAGCAATCAAGAGGTTAGTAATTAACAATTTTCCAGGCACCGCAGCTTCTTTTAGTAACTTATGCAATACTTATATGAGGAAATTACCAATTGATGGACTCTATATTTATCCATTCAAGTGATTTATCAGGAAATGTTTGGAACAAAGAACTTACAATAATACAATGCCGCATTCTCTAAAGATTGAGAAAATAAATAATAAAATGTTGGAATAAGCTGAATCGAACAGATACCTTGACTATTTTCTCATTTTTTTCATATGGAGAAGTAAAATTCGCTTTTTACCAACCCCTGTGAAACTCCAAATACAGGCTCTTTGCTTGTACAAAGGCAAATTATAAGAAGAGTTAGTATGTCCATGCACTTACCAGGATCATATTTGCAATTCCAAACAATGCACCTCGTACGCCACTGTGAATTTCAATGTAAAAAGGATAGCAGTTCATTGACTTGACGAGGTTATGTTGCAAAATTGAAAATTAAATTAAAATAGATATAAAGCTAGGTGTGCAAAACATCAATGTAATGAGACTAGATGATCTATAAGCTGGCCTTCCCTAGTGTGCATATTAAAATAGGAAGGGAACTTTGACCATACAAGATTTTAACCTGCATATTCCCGCAGTGATACACAGCAGAACCAAAAGGCGCACATTCTGGTGGAAAACTGCAATCTTACTACTTTGTGCAGCAAAAATTGATGCAGTAAGATAGTGTGGAATGGAGATTTCAGAAAGCTGAGCCATAAGAAAAAAATTCAGCACTAAAGGCATAAAAGATAGCCAAGAGAGTTAATCTAAAGAAAGCGCGAAATAAGCCTAACTCGACTCATTTTAATGAGCAGCACGGCGAAACAAAGCAAGCTCAAATACATCAAAATCAGAACAAAAAAATAAGCTTCACATCAGATGATTAAGTAATTGATATAATCATTCTATCATAAAGTCTTAATCTTTAGCTGACACCAGATGGAATTAAATCACATTTCTTTACACATGAGAAGAAGAAAGCAATTGAAAGGGCTAAAAAGTACAGGATTAAACTTACAGCAGTGAGAATGAGGGCAGCAAATGCAGTAAAGATAACCCATCGATCTTGAGCTATCAATTCCCACATCTTTTTCAGCGCCCTCAAAACAGTCACAGGTTTCGCCACCATCACACCATCAACGCCCTCATTCGACAGACTCCACCACTCCCCACCAGGCAATATATCCCGTACAAACTCAACCCATTTCTTCAACCCTCCTTCCTCGTATCCTTTCAAGGAGCCCTCTTCCTCCTCATTTACAGGGTACCCATTAACTGAAACCGATTGTATTGAAGAAGGGTGATGAAATATTCTATTCGAATTGAAAAATTGCAGTTGGGAGTTTTTATGAGGAAAAAGCAGAATTCTATAATGGGATTTTAATCGGATTTTTGTTTGCTGAATTGGAAATGTGAAGGGGGGATGGAGATTACACAAGGTGGAAGACATTTAGGAATTTGAACGAGAAATTGTAATAACTGGAGAAAGTATAGTGTTTTCTTTCTGTATTTTTCTGGTTGAGGAATGGGCGAGTTGTCACCACTCATTTGACGAAGAGTCGGGGAAGGAAGGAGTTGGTAATGGAGCTAAAGTCCAAGCACGTTCAAATTAGTTGCTTATTTTAAACGTATCATTTAGCCCCCGTTTGGCACTCATTTTTTTCTCATTCTCATTCTCATTCTCATTCTTTTTTTCTTTCTTTATTTCAACCACACATTCTATCAATAAAATAATATAACACATAAACCTAAAAACTTTCCTTACTTTTTAACCACATATTCTTCCATCAATCACTATTCAAAAATTAAGGCCTTGTATGGGAGGGATTTAAATCGGATTAAAATTGAAAATATAGCCGTTATTGTTGACTTTTATTAGGCGGGTGGGGCCCAATAACGGTCATATTTTCAATTTTAATTGGATTTTAATCACTCCCGAACAGGGCCTAAAATTGTCTAACTATTTTGGGTTAAAAAATTTATTTTTCTATAAATATATTTTTTTTTGCTTGCATAATGAATATCAATAATATTTATAATATAAATGATAATTGACTGATTTTTTCAAAATTATTGTATATATCCGATAGTTACCAACAAACAATTACACCAAAAATGAAAAGCAATAGTAGAATCTAAATTTAGACTCCTTTCTTTCTTTTTTCGAAATTTGAAATTTTGGTAGAAGAAGTGTAGACGGTAAATAAATTATTTGAAAAGGAATTATATTAGTATTTTTATTATTTTATTTTTAAGTCTAAAAAAGATGAATTATAAATTAAAAAATGTATTAGCGGGTTGGATCAGTTAATTGATGGTTTAATTGTTTAAACCGAAACCAATCCAACTCGACTCGGTTTGGTTCGGTCGGTTTGATTGGTTTTTCGATTTTTTTTACCCACCCCTAGTAATATTTAGCCTCTGGTTGACTGCCATTTTTTGTGTAGAATGAGTTTTAAAATAGCAAATTTATGAAATATGTGTAGTTAAAAAGTAGAAACGTATGATTGAAAATAAGTATGAGAAAAAAAGAATATGTAATTAAATTGGTACCACAGTTTTTATATTTTACACAACATTTTAATTGCACTTATAGTTCTCAGTCTTTGCTTATTATAATTGATGATCCCAAAATAATGCATGACCCGAGCACTCCATCCACGAGGAGTAATATTGCCCATTCCACCAAAAACCTCATGAACTCCTTGATCATGGTACCTCGGGACTATTCCTCCTTGGTCATATGACCACAGTCCCCACCACATAGACCTCGTCGAGATATCTCATCGGAAAATAACATTTCCCATTAGCTAGGGATCTTCTTGAGGATATGTCTCAATTTCGCTCCTAACCCCCCCCCCCCCTACCCCTATCCATTAGGACTCTCTGATAAGATAGAGCTTATCCAGTTTTCAGGATGTTAAGTTATGTTGTTTCTATTCCACGCAGATAGGACTCTATTATTCAAACACATCAGTGGAAGAATGCCCATCAAGTTGCAATTTCTAAACATGGTAGGAATCTTAGGGATTTGAGTAACTTAATCCTACCAGAAATGTGTTACCTGCCTCTATAAATACAACACCCCAATTCATTATCAAAGTACGCTTACACATAATTTTCAGCATATATTTTTTCACATAAATTCTCTCTTTAACTTAAGCATCAAATGAGCGACGAGAAAACACATCGACACCTTTATTTCAGATATCGGAAGATTCTGTTCGTGCTCATTCTCAATCCTCAAACTCGAAAATCAATAGGTACGATTTTGGTAGCATCAGTGGTGCCGTTTGTGGGAAAAGCTATCAAACCCATGGTTAATACTAGTTTAGGTCTTCCTCCAGCAAGTTCATTCGTTCCAAATCATCCCCGTGCTAAAGACCCTCCAACCCTTCAAGAAAAATCATCAAAAATACCAATGTCCCAACCAGCAGTTGTTATTATCGGAGCTTTTGAGTAGCTCCGCCAGCAAATTACTACGTTGACTCAGTTGCTGAGTCAAAGAAATCTGCATCCAGTACGAGCACCAAAGGGCGATTTTATGGCGGATGCTTGAGCTCAAGCTTCTCGTACTGTTTCGGGCACTAGTGATACTAGAACTACAGGTACACCTCGAACGACCACCTCGAACGACCTCGGGCTCGAGATTAGTTACTATGGACTCCACTAAACTCGCCAGATCATACAAGACGAAATTGCAATTGGTATGCTTTGGAATACTAGGTTTCACTCCTAACACCTTGTTCACTCTAGAGATATTGTCATACCCCCTTACCAAACAGATTCAAGTATCCTCGTACAAAGGAGTATGACGAAACTACAGACCCCATCATTCATCTCAACGTATAAATCGACATCATGAATCTACAAGTGGCACCAGATCCGATGATGTGCAATGCTTGCTTCATTCTCTGATTTGACAGACAAGTTTTTCGTCTTTTTTTCAAGTAGCAAACGCATCAAGAAAACAGTCGCTTCCTTCATGTAGCTTCATCAATGACCAAACGAATCCCTGTGTAACTTCATGACGAGGTTCAATAAGGAAAGACTTTAGATACCCGACCTCCATATCACAGTAGCAATCTTCGTCCTTACATATGCGATAAGATATGAGGCCTTCAAAATGTCACTGTCAAAAATCCAGCCAAAGTCGGTGACCGAGCTCCTTACCCGAGCCGAAAAATATATTAATATGAAGGAGACATTGAACCCAAGGGGAACTCTTCATCCTACCTCGGAGAAATCCGAACACAAAAGACAACATGATAAAGCGCGAACCATAATTGAATCTATTACAAATAACTAATAAGAGGGTAACACCTATCATTTTCTCAAAAAATAACCCTTTATTGGAATAAGAAGGCATGCAATTGAAAAACTCCCTCCCAAATAACTATTTCTTCTCTTGTTTTAGTTGAAACATTTAGACTAGTGAATCGAATAGGTGAAACACATAGTTAGATAAGAGAATTTGTTGATTATATTTACATTTGATCTTCGATTGTAATTGTTTCATTAATAAAATTGTTTGATCCGATTTCTTCAACATTTACCAACTTTAAATTTTATATATTACTTGATAATATATTAATAAAAATTGTTCTATTTTATTAAATAATCAAATTTCATGCAATAAAATGTTATAAAATAATTTCTCAAAATTTCAAATCAAACGAGTTTTCTATGTTGAGAAATAGTTTTTCAGAATAATAAAATAAAATTGTTTTTAGCAATTTTAAAATAAACCCTCAAAATCAAAAATAAAAAATGAACACAAAACTCAAAATTGAAATACAAACCAAATGAACCCTCACTTTTTAAGACATAAGTAAAAGACTTTTCTGAAAAATAAATAAAGTTTATAAAGAAATTTTCATCATAAATAATTTTAAGTGAGAAAATAAATGTTGTAAAATTATGAGACTGTATTGATGACTATTTAGTCCTTGTTTAGTTTGGCTAAAATCAGATTTTTGGTAGATTTTTTTTTAGATAAAAATTATTTAAAAGTATGATTGAAAAGTTGATAAAAGCCACTTAACTCAGGACATCTGTGGTTGAAAATACATTTGTAAAAAATGAATTTTAAAAAATTGGGACCAAAAAGGGGCTTAGCCTCTGTTTAGGCTCCATTAAAATTAGATTTTATGGGAAAATCTATTTTGGAATATTGAATTTTTGGAGAATGTATAGTTTAAAATATAAGGAAAAAATTTGAGTTTACGTGTAATATTATTTTAAGGAAGAATATGTAGTTGAAAATGAGTATTTTTTTGAAAAATGGAGTCCAAACATGAGTTTAGTCTTATCATGATACTTAGCCCCTGTTTGGCCCCCATTAAATTACATTACATTACATTAAATTTTTCTCTCTATTCATTACAACCACACATTTATCAAATAAAATAATATTACACACAAATCTAAAACTTTTCATTACTTTTCCACCACACATTCTCTCATAAATCACTATTCCAAAAATTTTCAACCATAAAAAATGCAAAATAATAGGGGCCAAACAGAGGCTTAATAAATCTTATTTGAACTATATAAGAGTATATACACTTTAAATTATAACTATCATAATGAAATATAAATTTGAGCCTAACTCTTTCTAGTTTCTCTCTTTTTAGAGAAAATATCCAAAAGATTCTTTTATTATAAAGAGTATCATATATACTATTGAGAGCGTCTTTAAATTTAAAAAATCAAAATTTTTATACACTTCAATAATGTTCTCTATTTTGGCTCTTTATTTTGATTTTTTTCAAAGAATATTTATTGATTTCTCTTCATATTTTAATTTAACACAATTTTTTTATGTCAATGGCCAATCACTTTAAATATAGCATGAATAGTTTAAAAAGTAGAGTATTAAAATATGTGACTTATTAAACATAATCATTGTATATTATAGTAAGTTTGACTCTCTAAATTTGGAGAGTCAAACTCACCCTCTATTTTAAAAAGTTAAAATAAAAAGTTTCTTAATATTTATTTTTAAATATTAGCTTTTTTTAATGAAGAACATGTTATATTTAGGGAATCTCTAGAAAATGTTGTCTTTCTATCTAAGATAAGGAAAAAAATTTGAGATCAACAGTGCATAAAATTCATTGAATAAAACATGCGTAGTTGTGATCAAATATTAATATCTCAGCATCCAGTGATCAAATCGTCATAAAATTTTGGGAAAATTGTAGCAACGGTCCCTAACATTTTCAATTTTTGCAGACTTTATCATAACACTCAATTTGTACCAGCGGCGGTCCCTAACATTTCAAAAATATCATCTAGCGTTTGAATGGATGGAATCTGTTCACTTTTCCGTTAGTTGACTAAAAATATTATTTTGACCATATTTTAACTATTTTTAAAGTGGCAAAATGACAACTTTACATTTTTCTATTATAAACAATTAAATATATTAAATCAATTTTAAAAAAA